ACACATTTGGAAACAGACCAAATGTCTATCAAGGGACGAAGGCATAATCAGCAATGGTGTGTGTGTGTGTGTGTGTGTGTGTGTGTGTGTTTGTGTGTGTGTGTGCACGTGTAGTCACATGGTAAAATTTTACTAGCCATAGAAAGAAACGAGTTAACAATTTATGCTACCAAATACATTATCAATGAAAAAAAGCTAAAAGAATGTTTTGTACACAATAATCACATATGTTATGATTTCCTTTGTATGAAATCTACAGAATATCTACACAAGGACATTGGATTCTTTGTTCACAAAGCCTGAGAGGGTGGGAGGCAGAATGAGAAGCAACCATGCAGTGTGAGTAGAGTTTTCATCTAGAGTTATACATGTGTTTAGAACTTCCTAAGTGATAATTGTCTAACACTGTAAGTATAAGTAAATGACCTAGAGGCTGGATGTGGTGGTGCACATCTTTAGTCCCAGCACTCAGGAGGCAGAGGCACGAAGATCTCAGTGAGATTGAGGCCAGTCTGGTCTATAGACTGAGTTACAGGCCAGCTGGGGCTACAGTGAGACACTGTTTCAAAAAGAGCTCCCCAATAAGGTTTCACTCGGTTTTGTATTTTAAGATAGTTTATTCATTCAGTAATATTTCAAAGTATTATAAATGTAAAAACCAAAACATTTTGATTAATTTACAGCCATTAAGAAAACAGCTCATGTGTGTACCTTTGTGAGATGCAGCTATAAATACAATGATAACTATTAACTTCTCCTTCTACACCCATTGTGTTTTTTTTCATGTTATGCTAAATTATGCAACGAACTCTCCTGCTTATGTATGCTTCTCAACAGTTTTAATGTACACACATTTTCACGTGTAGGATGAAACACCATTATTATTCACATTTGATTACATAGTATGTAAAGTTCTCTAACAAAGTGTGTTCCCCGTGTTTACTGATATTAACCATGTATGCTCATTGTAGTAAACATATTAGAATGAAAAGTTGCAGAACAAGAAGAAAAACAGCTATCCCATGTCTGTTCTCTGATTTCCACACATGTCATGGCATGTGCGCAGGATGAAAGACACACAAATATACATAGCACAATAAATTTACGAAACAGAGCATCATGAAGTTCTGAGGTGCCTATTGATAACAATAATATACTAGAACTTTCAAGATTCTATTGCAAAATTTGAATGCAATGGTATTTGGAAAGATATTTATCTCTATCCTTATTTAAATATTGCTTACTGTACACATGTATCAAAATATCAACTCACTATTATTTTATATTGTATATATCAGAAAATTAATTTTTTAAAATAAACTAACTTTAATGAATAAGTAATTAAATTGGAAGCAGAATCCTTTCTCCATTTAGCACTTAGTGATCTCCCCTATGGATAAATTACTTAGCAGAGAAAAATCAATCAAACAAGTACATCTTAACAAAAGATTGGAAGCACATTTATAAAAAATTTATAGACTAAGTTGTTTTAAGACTTAAAGTGTAGCTAGGCATGGCGGTGCAGGCCTTTAACCACAGCCCTCAGGAGGCAGAGGCAGATGGACCTCTGTGAGTTCAAGACCAGTCTGGTCTGCAAGGCCAGCAAGTTAAAGGCCTACTGGGGCTACAGGGAGACCTTGTCTGAAAAAGATCGAAAAATAAAACTTAAAGTATAATTATACCTTAATAATTAATTATTACTCTTATGACCTACCAAACAGGCATAATCCCAAAATCAAACTAATAAACGACTTTAGAAAAGCATTTTGATGAAAGAAATAAAGGTGAGGACATGTGGGCAAAAACAATTCCAGTAGAAGAAAGAGAGGGATGATAGAGGGTAATAGCACCCCAAATCAAATTTGATATAAATGTGTATGAAACTGTCAAAGAATGTTTAAAATGTTGGAAAAAGGACTATGAAGATATGTCAGACAACTTCCTTAGGACCTACATGAAAAAAAGCCAGGCACGGTGGAAACACATTTGTAATTTTTTGGCTCACACAGCAGAAAGGCCAGGAGAGACCAGGCCATACCAATAAAAGGAGGATTAATCCAGATGAATGATACCTGATGCTATCCTCTAGCCTTCATGCGCATGTACATGCCATATGCATGCAGTTACACACAGATATATATGCACCACCCATCAAAAAACATAGGACAGACAGAAGGAATTAATTGATAATATTTCACTGAGGAAGAAAAATAAAGATATGTTCAGAATTAAGGAAAATGAAAAGCCAAATATTTAAGAATGAGCATCATATGACACAGCTAATGGCACTTGGGCATATGCCTGATGTACTCTGAAAGAACATAGCACAGAGATATTTGCATGTCCGTATTTATTGCTACACTATTCACAATAGTGAGGAAATTGAGCCATCCTAGTTATTCATCAACAGAAGAAAGCATAAAGAATATATGAAATATTCAATGATATTTTAGTCAGTCATACACAAAAATAAAATCATGACATCTGGAGAAATATGCAAACAATTGAAGATCATTATTTTGAGCAAAATGACATGAACATAGAAATGAAAATATCATTGTGTCTCATATGGAAAAAAATTTAGATTTATATGAATATAGATGAATGTATATATCTAAGACATGAGAGAAGAATGTGAAGTTGGGGAAGGGAGGAAGAGATCTAAAGCAAATAGGATGGGGTAAGAACTGTGGTAAAGACTAATATGTCATAAAAACAGTGGAAGTCTAATTGGGAAGGGAAAGGAAAGCAGCATGTGACAGGCAGGAGAGACAGCAAGGGCACTGGGAAAGGGCGAAGATGAAGAGGAAAGAATATTGACATGTATGTAGGAAAATGTACTCGTGAACTCAATTTTTGTCTGCTGATTTTTTTAAATTAGCAAAAAAATGAAAAAAGAAAAGTCTAATATTTAAAATGTCTTGAACTAGTGTGTGGAAATTCCAACTTTTGAAACTTAAATCTGTGATAAAATATTGTGTATACCAAATAAAATGCTGGAAATTATGGATTTTCAGTACAAATTAAGAATCATGACTGAAACTATAATATGTGAAATATATTAACATTACTTATGTACTACTGTAAGCAATAAAATCTGACACAAATAAAATTATAACTGATATCTAAAGATTACAAACATGCTGGCATTTAGTGAAATGTCATGTTCTTAAAGTACTGTCTTAGTTCTTCCAACAACTGTCCTTACGATATGCATCTGCCAGGGCTTCATCAAAAAAAAGCTAAGTGGGTTGCGTCATTTAAGTCACTTTACCTTAATAAAATAGACATCTATGTGCAAGTCGACAAAAGAAAGGTTACTAATAATTTGATTAATTTAGGATTAATAGAAATACTTTCCTCTTTACAAGAGAGTCAGAAAAGTGTAAAATGTGCTATGAAACATAACTTATAATTACCCAGAGGGACCAACTTGTTACAACTATGCCATTCTACTTCATTCTTACTTTTCCTTTGATTTTCAAAATTAAAATTACTTCTGACAATTTGAACCTGATTCCTCATCTTAAAATTGATATGAAATAATTGTCCCTTAACAACATCATTCCAAGATAATTTAACCATGTAAATTATTGTTATAAGCATTTACAAAATTTGTGTACCAACATAAATGTGTTTCTTTTTAGAAAAATGTAATGGAATTTATGTATTCGAAAATATTGTCAGTATCTTACCTGTACATTTTCAGTAAAAAGTTATTTCAGAAAGATGAATTACTGAGAAAAAATATGCTTTCATTTGTTTTTATTTGAGACATTGTCTCTCTCTCTCTCTAGCCTGGACTGTATTGGAACTCACTGTCTAGTCGGGACTGGCCTTCAACTTGAGTCAATTTTCCCATCTCAGCCTTCTGGGTGCTGGAGTTAGAGAAGTTTATGACCATGCTCAGCTTTAAAAATTTGATAGTTTTAGTCAGCTACAGAAAATTAAACTTCATGTTATATTTCTACTTCACTTTTCAAAAAAAGTTTATGTAAATAAAAATGACAGCCTTTTTGAGACATCACCAATGTTTTCCTGTACCATCAGTGGCATTGTTTGAGAAATATTCTCGCTTATGGTCTAGGTCAGCAATATAGATCAGAAAGCAGCTGTAACATATGTGAACTCTTCCTTATCAGAAAAATAGGAAGAGATAAAGTAGAGGATAACATTTCTAAGCTTCCGATGGAGCCTGTCATACAGTCCAAAGGCTGCATGGGGACTTAATTACATATCCATTCAGGATACAGACTATTTTTTCAAATTTCTGTTCCTACACACTGACTTGTACATATTCCATAACACAGTTACCCCAAAATAGAGAGACTGAAATAATGTCATTTTGTGCAATGAAGCATTTGATGAACTTTTGTTACAGTATTATATTCTTATCTTTGACTTTATTTATATAGTTTTCTCCTGATACAACTTCTTTCTCAAATTCTATCTTACAACTCTCAGTCTTTTCTGTGTTTATTGTCAAGTTATAATGAAGAAGATAAATATTTGAATAGTCACATTTTGTATTTGTTATTTATTTTCTCACAAGATTGCTGGGCACTTTCTGTTTTCATTTGTGTACACGAAACAGCTACTTAGCTCACATACTTCAAAGCTACACTGTCTATCATCAAAGGCAAAAATTCTCTCTTTTCTAAATGGACACTTCTACTTCTACAATAGAAATATGATTCTTGTCTCAGAAATCATATAAAATATATATGAAAGGTATGTAATTAATATCAGAAATCATACATGTCATTAATATTTTCTTTTAATCTCCACAATTATTAACTATACTATATTGTTCTAATTTTAAGGGTAAAGTTAAAAAGAACAGGGATGCTGCTGGATTGTTTTCTAGAAAAATAAAATATAGCATCTAGTTCTATTTTGCAACTCAAATTCATTTCTTTTCAAATGTAGACATTATCTCTATTAAGAGTAATGATACATTTAAATTAACAAAAATTCTGAGCATTATTTATATTTCAGAGTCAAATTCCCAAGTAAGTTGAATTGGAAAAAGATAAAAATTTAGTGCTCATTATCTTTCTGACTGTGTCTTTGACATCCTTATTTCTCAGGCTGTAGATCAGGGGGTTCAGCATGGGAATCACCACTGTATAAAACACAGAGGCCACTTTGAACATGAGCTTGGGATTCTTGGAGTTGGGTACACAATATAGGAACAGGATAATGCCATAGAAGATGGTGATGGTGGTCATGTGGGAAGCACAGGTAGAGAAGGCCTTGCGACGTCCGCTGGCTGAACGCATCTTGTGGATGGTTAAAATGATGAACACATAAGAAAAGAGAATGAAGAGAAGTGTGCTAAGTCCACTAAACGTGGTCAAAGTGAAGAGAAGTATCTGACTGACATGAGTATCAGAGCAAGAGAGGGAGAGTAGTGAGGAGAACTCACAGAAGAAATGATCGATTGTGTTGAGACCAACAAAAGATAATTTCAGGGCAGAGCACGTCATCGTCAAAGAGCACGTGAAGCCCCAGACATAGGATCCCACCACCAAAGTGACACAGACCTTCTGGGACATGGCACTTGTGTAGAGCAGGGGATTGCAGATGGCCACAAACCTGTCATAAGCCATCACCGCTAATAAAAAGGCTTCGGTTACAACGAAGATAGCAAAGAAAAAGTATTGAACTATGCATTCTGAAAATGAAAGGGTTCTGTCTTTTGCAACTAGGTTCACAATCATCTTTGGCGCAATGATGGAGGAGTAGCAGAAATCCACAAAGGAGAGGTGGCTGAGAAAGAAGTACATGGGGGGTGTGCAGTTTCGGGTTAATTCTGATTATGAGAATCATGCCGATATTCCCCACTAAGGTGATGCTGTAAATGGTGAAAAATATCAAGAAGAGGGGGATTTGCAGTTCTGGGTATTCCGAAAAGCCCAAGAGGATGAATGTAGCCTTGGTGTTATTTCTATCTGAAAGTAACATTCTTTCTGAAAATAGCAAAAAAAAAAAAAAAACAGGTGAGTACCATATAGTCTTGAATCATTGTCCACCCTGAGCCTACAGGACATAGCATAACTCTAAAATCTATGCGTTTTGTCATAGACAGTCTACAGGTAAATGTTTTGAATATTAAAACAATTTTGAAATTTCATGAGAAAAATTAAGATACACTTGAAATATTTGACTCCTTTTTCAGAATATACAAACACAGGAAGTTGAATTTTTACTATTTTTTGTTTTAATATTCTCAGGAAATTCTTCACATAATACATTCAGATTTCTTTTTATTATATTAATTGTTAAAATAATATTTGTAGCTCTGATTAATAATGCCTTGATATGCCTAAAGTAATTTTTAGTCATATATTAACTAAATAAACATATATGTGGAAAAATAATGCTATTTCGTGATAGTTCAATTATTTAGTGTTTTTAACTGTTACACTCAATAAATTTTATTACAAAATGAATTTTATTTCTTTAGAAGTTATTTTATCAATTCACTATTTTCTGTGACTAGTCTTTGCCTATCATCCAAGATTAAAAAAATTAGAATAGATTGTAAGGATAAGATGTTTTAGTGTCTTATTCTAGAAGGTACAGGATAGAAACCAGAAAAATCTACGCCTTCCAATGATATTCACACAGATAAAACTATGTCTGTGTGAAGAGTCATTATTATATTCCCTTCACAAACACTGTAGTCTCATTTCATCCCTCTGTGTAGATATTGTCAGGTTAATTTGATTATTAACTATCACAGACATAACTCCCGTGCTGTGTGAGGATGCAACACCTGATATTGATATTTCACACTTTTTTTCACTTCAAGGAATAATAATACATATGAATAAAACATGGCTCCAAAACCTATTTATATTACTTTATAGCAACATAGTTTTAAAGGAATAAGTTACCTTCATGTCAAATTGTTTACCTGAATGAAATCTGTGTCTGGCTTGTGAATCTTATAAATTAAAACATTAGCTTAAAGCTTAGTATCTCACTTATATATATGCAGTTGAAGATGTGTATGTACACCCTGGAGATATTACATTGCACCATTCTCTTGAGGTCATAAAATATGCTATTAAAATTAATCACTCTTATCTGAAGAAACCTTGTAAAAATCATACATTTTAACTAACACCTAGGAATTGTGCATTTTATGGGATAATTTTGACATTCCATTACATTTATAGAAAAATTTTCATGATATTTTTGTTATTTCTTTATACTGAGAACAATTTAAAATCATTGGCACTGGTTTTTATGCTTCTTTGAATAATTATGTCATTTAATAATTATTATTAAGTTACCTTAGTCTGCAAAAACATTACGATGTATTTATTCTATATGATTATGCTACTGTTCCACTATCTTGTCTCCATGCCTGTATTCCCATACTCTTTCCATGTTTTTGTAGCCTCTGTTCTCTAATACTTTGAGACCAACACTTTAGCTTTTACATGTAGGTAAAATTTAGCTACACATTTCCTCTTAATATTTAATTATTATAGTTAACAAATTGCCTTTCAATTTGATCACTTTGCTTGTGAGTGACAGAATTTCATTCATGCTTGTTGGCCAATAATTTTCAATGATTTTTAAACCTAATTTTCTTTATTCACTCATCTCTAAATGGACAATTTGGAAACCAAGTCGTGGCTGTTGTGAATACTGCTGAACTCCACTGAACTTTCCATAACACTTCATCCAACAACTGATCCCAGTGAGGTAAAAGTAGAAATCAATAAGGCAAATTTTAGAAATTATTCAAATACATAAAAACAACCAACATTTAATTTAAAGACCCTTTTTTTCTCTTATTTAATTCCTTTATTTTCTTTAAAAAATATTTTATTGAGATTTTGTACATCCCCCTCTTGAAATAAGTAAACATGAAATGAAATGAAAATCACAGTAAAACATAACCTATAAAAAGCAGAAAAATATCACAAATAAGAGGAAATGTTTGTCCCTATAAATTTCTATGTGAAGGAAATAGCTTGTATATAATCTAGTAATGAATGTATGGGAATTAACAGATTAAAATGCAAATAAAATAGACACAAAATATAAAAATTAATAGCAGAAATATCTTTAAAAGAAGAATTTGATAAAACTATTGAAAGAATAATAGAAATCCTGAAGGCGTAACTGGACAAGGTGGCCCATTCCTGTCATTCCAGCACTAGCAGAGTCAGGGCAGGTACATTACTCTAAGTTCAACGCCAGAGTGGGCTATGTAGCATGAATTCCTGGCCAGCTTTGGTTGCCAAATTAGTATTTGTCAGAAAAAAGGCAAAATTATTGGAGCCACGTTAACGAAATCAGAGATGTAGACACAGTTTCTTCAACTTTTACTTCAGGAGAAAAATTATTTTCATTGAAAATTATGAACAACCACATGCCATTAAGTTAAAATGCTTGTAATAAATGGTCTCATTTCTGGCACAAATAACCTACCAAATTAGAAACATCAAGACACAAAAATCCTAAACAGACCAATTATTATGTAAATAATAGTGACATTTAGCAAGATAATAATAATAGATTCTGTCCAAGGTCCTATGACTTCCACAGTCAATGGATCTTGCCAAGTTTAAAGTAGTGGGCATGAGTTCTATCATGTAACAGGCCTTAAACCAAATTAAAATACGTTTGAATACACTCATGAGATTCAGAACACTATCACATCAATGGGCATGTCTCACCTGGCTAGTCCTTATGGTAGATTGTCTAGTTAACAGATGATAAAACTATTGACATCTTTTCTCCCCCAGCAGCCTGAATAGCAAATTCAAGCACTATGAAACCTAGCCAATAAGAAAGAGGCCTGCAGGTCATTACCAACTTGGTTTTTCTGTTTCCTGTGACCTAAGAACTTGGAGTCTTCAGCAATAGGGTCTTACCATCATGCTCTAGTGGGCAACTAAGAGAAATGACAATATGCTATGTTTTTGGGGAACTGTATGTAATAACCCTTATGAAGAACTTGGTGGAAGTATCTCATATCTCTCACTGGGCTTTTTCCTTTAAAATCTGAGAGAAACATTATCCCCCCTGTAAGTTAACTACATAGTGTTAATGTTGCAGTGAATGGGTCTGCTCCATGCACACAATGGAAGCACTAATTGTAAAAAGAGAATATAAAGTTGGAAGATGCAGTGGGGGAAGTGACTGGGAGGATATTAAGAATTGGAATGGATTAGGATATGATTAACCTCAGTGTATACATGCATGAAGTTCTCAAAGAAAATAAAAATGTAAATGTATTTTGAAAAAATGTTGGATTTGTCATAAATATTGTCTAAACAGAAGTAATTTCAGGGACATGTGGATTAACTATGAAATTTCATTAAACATGTAAAAAATGATTCTTAAAATTTCTCCAGATATCTCAATGTAATAAAATGTTGTAACACTGTCTAACTCTTTGGAGAGGGTCAGCTAAGTCTGATATCAAGATGACTAAAGGGCACAAAAACAATAAAAAGGGGATAAAGTATTATTGTATGCCTCTTATGAACATACATGAAAACCCTTACAATACAACACTAGCAAATATCAAAAGCACAAAGGCAAACATTAAATAGGATCAAGTTGAGTTTATGCTATGGTTGCAAATGTGGCTCCATATATAGAAATCAGTAAATATATTAGGAGAAAAATGAAGAAGCAAAATCATATGGTTATCTAAATAAATGAATAAAATTCATAAAGTGCAATATCCCATGATATAAAACAAAATATGCAAAAAGAAGCAATATATTAAACAACAAAAGTTAAATATGAGAGACACAGAGCCATAATCATATTCAGTGTCAAGAAGCTGAAATTGTTTCCTATGAAATCACACCTAAGACAAAGATGCCAATTGTCACCTTTCCTGTTTGATAGAGGACTGAAGGTTGTAATCTTTGCAACGAAAGAAAGACATAAAATACACATAAAAGAGAGAGGTCAATTTATTCCTAATTTCTGAAAACATTTTTATATTTTTTCCACTTTTCTTATTAGAGAAAAGCTTAAGCTTTTCTACACAAAGATAATTAGATATAAAAAGTTAATTTAGTTCTGGAGAGATGGCTCAGTGCTTAAGAACACTGGTTGTTCTTGCAGAAGACCCAGGTTTGAATCCTAGCACCCACATGGCAACTAACAACTGCCTGTAACCCCAGTCCCAGGGGATCTGTCAGCGTCTTCTGACCTCCGCGGGCATTGCATGCCAAGGATGCACTTACCTACATGCAGGCCATACACGCATACACATAAAATTTTAAAAATAATAATAAAATTTTAAAAAT